AAGGTTAAAGCCCACTCTAATGATCTATGGAATGAAAAAGCAGTCCGACTGGTCAAAAAGGCATTAAATCTATCAGCAATAGTATGGAAGAGTCTCAAATCAAGCAAGATACCTACAGAAACTATGTGACAAGAAGAAGTGGTAGACATTTTAATACGATAGTTCATCAAACAAATCAATAAAAGATCAATAGCTCTATTATGGACACAACAATATAGAACAGAAACAAAATAGCATTACCAAGTTCACAAGCATTAAATTTACTTATGGGATCTGGTATGGGATAGGTTAAAAGATGGAAATATATGGGATATCTCCTTCAAAAGCTCACAGAGAAAACGTTTTCTGATTAAATTGATCAATGATGAACTATCTACCTTAAGCAAGCTAGTAATAAGAAGACCCGATTTATACAAGTAAGCAAGATGTATAGTATATAATCAGCATCAAGAAACAATAAAACACTTATTAAAATGTTCTGGTCATAAAATTGAGATTCTAGTGGCATGGTAAAAAAGATTTGAGACTTTTTTTAAAGAATTTGACAAGTTGTATCAAGAATGTAAGAGGAAAGTGGATAAAAAAATAGTACAACTAGCAGTTGACAATAGAAGAAAAAAATGTGAATTAGATAAATGGGTCTCCAGACTAATAAAATTAGCCTCGCAAACTAGTTCAAGCACTCTCAACTTTTGCACAAGATTAGTAGAAAGTAACACAATCAAAGAAGCTGCTAACCTAAACTATTATAGAAAGAAGTTGGGAACAATAACAAAAAATAAATTCTAAAAATACAAAAAAGATTTGCAACTAGATTCGAAAGCAAGTCTGAAATGTGAAATGTGAAAAGATTATTGAATGGGAACAAGAACAAAGAATTAATAGAAGAGCAAAATGTAAGAAGACATATGAAGCAAGAAGGCAAGACCTGCAAAATAATTCTAGTCACAAAAGCACAAGGTAAAGAAAAGAAGTAAAAGAGAGTGAAAATAAAAATCTGATAGAAATTATAAGAAATGGGATTAAATATGGAATGAAGTGATTGGGTTTTGATCCTTGTCAGAATATTATGCAGTGATCTGTAGCAATGACCTGCGGATGATGATGTTAAAAGTTGAAAGGGTTTTCACTTAAACTACTAACAGAGCGATAAATTACTTTTGAAGTTGCACTTAGAGTCCTAGATAGATATAAGACTTTGATGAATGAGTTAGTTAAAGATTTAGCTTTAGAGACACATATATAATGTATAGCTTACAATTGTTTAATAAATCATACATAACTAGTCTGATAGAGGGTTATAATAAAAAAATTGAATAGTTTATACTGAAAAAATTATTAAAATATATAATAAATGAGATTCTATTGAATAAGAGTATTATAACTTAACACATATAAAAATATTTTATTGGTAAAGATTATTCCAGAAGGTCTGAATTTTTTTGCCTATCTTATTTTGATTTGATTTTATATTTAGTTATTAATTCTATATGCTATCTTTTCCTAGATATTAATAAATAGCTTGTTAAGAAATAATACTAATAAATAATATATTAAATGAATAATAATCAATAATAGAAATTTTTTAAAATATTTTTAGAAATTGACCAAATTTTGAGAAAAATAAATAGTATAGGATTTTTAAACTTATTATCAATTAATAATAAAATTTTTTATAATATATATAACTATTATTTTATAAAAACATTTTTTAGATATAGATAATCAAATTATACCAAATTTTATTAAGATTTATCAAATATTAATATATCAAATTTTAAGGTTAAATTCATTAAATAATATTTATAAAAGATTTTAATCACAATAATTTAACTAATCAAACAAAAACATGAAAAAATTATTTTAAAAATTTTTTTTATTATAGTTATATGAATACATGTATTATTATATACTATTATATGTAATTTAATGCTTTTCATTTGTGAGAATAAATAGTATATTAGATAGGTTTTTGGATAAATTTAAAATTCAAAAATAGAATTCTAATGAATTTTTAATTTAGATTTATTAACTAATAGTCATCAAAATATTAAATCTAAATTTATATAAAAATTAATATATAAATATTGAATTATTAATCTAATTATATCCTATTCTAATAATCAAGAACTTAAATTTTTAAATAATTAATTAAACATTAGTTCAATTTATAAACTAGAACAATTTTTGGTTAATAAGTTATATCAATTTTTAAATAACAGATGCAATATTTATAAAATAATTATCAATAAATTAAAATATTTTTCAAGAAAACTTTTTTATCTGAAAAAATTAAATTTAGAGATATTTATTAAAATATTAGATATATTAGTTGAATATTATAAAATATCTATAAAACTATGGACTTTTAAAGATAATTTATGAAAGATAATAAAAATTTAATAATTATTTAAAATAGAGTATTTCAATTTAGTAAATATTGAATTGAGAGTAAAATATTTGATTATATTATATTCTTATAAAATATTAAGGATTTATTTATATTAGTTTGATTTATAAATTATAATAAAATTATCAATTTATATTTGAAACAAGTTTATTTTTTTTTATATATTTAGTAAACTTTTCAAATAAGTTATTAAATATTAATTGGCCTTTATTTAATAATATAAATCAGTTAATTTAACAGAAATAAATTTTATTTTTGATTTGAAAATGGTGTAAATATTAAATTATAGAGTACTAAATTTTTCTCAATAAGATATAAATTCTTAATTCCTTTTTATAATATTTTTGATAAATTTATTTCATTTAAATATAGAATCTTAAATTAGTAAGATTTTTATAAATATTGATTATAATTTTTGCGAATTATAAATATAATATATAATTAAAAATTTGCAAATATATTAATTTTTATAAAATTGAGTATCAAAATAAAAATAAGAATTTTTTGAGAAAAATTTTAATGAAATATATAGTAAATATAATACAAATAATACGATAAATAATGTTAAGTTATATAGTAAAAATTGATTGATAATTAATTTATATTATTAATTTGTTAAATTATTTATTTTTTTAATGAATATTATATAGTAACATTATACTGAATAAAGATTTTTTGATTTATATAGTTTATCATTAATTAGTTTAATATGATGGTTTCTTTATTAAAATTTTTTAAAAGATATATTTCATATATATTTATCTTTTATTTTTTCTCATATTAAATCCCATATATAAACTTATTGCTCTAATATCTAATGGTTTTACTTTTTCTCTATTTTGTTTTATTAAGTTTATTAATAGATTATTATTTTATTGTTTACATTTTTAATATTCAATTCTATAATAATTTTATGTGAGTTGAGATTTTTTTATTCTATCAATAGAAGCTTTAAGGTTTTTTTAGTTAGTATATCTGTTTATTTGTTATAAGGGTTATTGACATATACTTTAACTTTGATAAATTTCAGATTTATATTCTTTATTTTATTATCTTTATGTTTTTTTTTGTTTATTTCAAGAATTGAGTCAAGCATAAATTTTATAATAAAATCAAAAATCTTTTTTATGCAATTTTATTTATAAATAAATTTCAATTTTATAATCAATAAAAGATCAAAAGTTTTATTCTTATATAACTTGATTATTTTATTATATATAATTCTTACATAGTATTGAGCTCTAGATCTTGTAATTGTAACTTGAGTATACTACTACTATGCTATAGATTTACAAGTATATACAGTATATCCAATTTTTTTTATTTTCGTAAAAATATGATAAGTAATATAAATTAAAAATTAAAGTATAGCAAAAACTATTATGACTTTTAATTTAAATATAATATATATAAAGCTCTAAGTTTAAATTTAAGATCTACAATATGACAAATACGTAGTTTTTAAAAACTATAAAAATAAAATAAATAAATAAAGTTTATATTTATAAAAAAAAAAATAAATGTTTTAGATAAGATTAAAATATAAAAAAAAATCATATAAGATCTTGTTTATAAAAAAATATCAGAGTTCCTTTAAAAATTTAAATAATAAAAAATTTTTTTTTATGATTTATCTAGTACAATATTATTATATTTAGTTTTTTTTTTTTTAGTATTTATGTAGCTATAACAGTGATAAAAGTAATAAAAGTTGAAGAATTTATAAAAATAATACTCCCATTTAAATTATGTATTATATTCGAAAAGAATAAATAAAAAAATAATCTATGTTATTATTTAAAATATATTTAAAAAGTGCAATATTCAACAGTTTGAATAATTTTTTAAAATATTTAAAGAATTGAAATCAACACCTATAAATAAATGAAGAAAATTGAGATTATCAATACGTATTTGAAAAATATTATAAATAATACTTTTGAAGGATTCTATAAATGCGAGTAAAACAAGAATTGCATGCCATAATTATTAATACGAATGCAGCATTATAATAAATTTCTATCCGCCGAATAATTAATCTGCATAAAAAAAAGGAAAAGAAAGGAAGAAAAAAAGAATTCTAAATGTCAGAAACGTCGCTCGGACGTGACTTTTGTGAAAATTTTTTATCAAATGCGTTAACTTTCTATATTGAAATATGCTAATTAATTACACTTCAATGCGCATTTCAATAAACCATTACATACTGTAAATAATCTTCAGAAATAAAATTAATCATTAACCTTTTTTTCCAACCGTCGAATTTCACGTGCTATTTATGCAATTATTTTTTTTTTAAAAAAAGTTACATAGTCACCAATATGATAATTTTTAGAGTTATTGTCTTGCAAAGTCGAAACCCACCCTTTGCTGCTAGTAACATATATACTAACTATTATACAACATTACACAGCAAAAACAATAATATGATTTATCGCCCATCTATTTATTTTCTTGTAGCGATCGAAGTAAACCTCGCCATCTCTTAAATCTATAAAATTTCCTCCTATAAGAGCAATTTTAAAATCTAGGATAATCCATAAACCCATAATAATCATGACAGATCGAATCGTGACGAGCAACTGATGATTCAACATGATTTTGAGGAACGTGATACGGGATGAGAGGCTCTCTGATGACCATGGAAGGATAGTATGTCGAAGTGACGCGGGATCTCAAGGAATTAGAAAAAGAATTTTGCCAAGGATGATGAGAAAATCCGTCCATGACCCCGTAATGGTTTCCGGTCGAGGATGCTGATGTTATAACTTCGGAGCTTTGGATCCGAGGTGAGAATGGAACGATCAAATTTCCTTTATCAACAGATTTATCACCTTTTTCCTGGGAATCGCCCAACCAATTAATTACGCTTGTAATTTTCATCGGATCCGAGATTTCTGACTCGGGAGTTTTACTTTGTGTATTTACCGATGGGAAATGGTCCACGATGGAAGGCAGTGTTTGAATCGATTGACGAGGAGTGTTAATGTTGAGGGGTTGGCAATGATATTTTATCTCAGTCTTGCACATATCTAAGCTGTTCTCATCCTCACTTTTAACATTTTGGATCTCGCTATTTTCCTTGATATCCTTTGACAAGCACTGTTGTTTCTTACGTAGCCCGAGCTGTTTAATGATGGCTTTGCTTGGTTCGATATTTGAGAGCTCAACATAAGCCCATGGCGGGTGAAGGTTATCGTGACTGCCTATAATAAGATGGTATATGAGAAAGGCGCAGATTTTTTATTTATAGCTGTAAACATATTGCATCGGAACTTGCCTTTTTTGTCCTCATATATAATCATATGTTGAAGGCTCCCATCAACGGTTACTGAAATTGTTTTCTTATTAAATCCTTCTTTGCTATATATAAACGTTCCCTTGTTGCAAACGTGATATTTTAAACTCTCTTTTTCGATCCTTTGTTTGATGGCCTCGTCAATATCTTCATAAATTTTTACACTGTGGAGACGATATTCAAGTTCTTGATAGAGTAAGAAGTCTCCATAGATTCTGCTCGGGGACCATTTTCTTTAAAAAACAAAAACGTCCGAAAAAAAGGTATCCGACGTTAAAATACCATCATTAGATGATTCCTATAATTTTCCACACTTACATTCCGTCGGTCCAACGCTTGATACCTGATTCGCCTTCATCATAAACGAAACTAATGTTTATGGGAAAATGAATTTACACGTTTTCTTCCGTCCCCCCTTTTTTTTAATAGATATTTTGATATTCTTTGGATATAACAACTTACACAGATCCCGGAACAAACTCCTTCTTTTCTTCCTCAAGACAACGACGAGTGATTCGCTGTAAAATTCCGAGCCGGCAAGCCTCTACGGCGCGGTGATGTAGAAAAATAATTTTTTCTGGATTAGTTAATCAAGAAGATCACATCATTAAAGACACGCGTCAATCACACGTCTCATTTCTTTTTGTACCAAAGATAATCAAAGCATCCCGAGTATTTTCGATCTTTCCTATTAGGAAGAAATGAAAAGGGAAAAAAAAAAGGAGTATATATTAGCAAAGTAACTTATTTATTGGCAGCCATTAAAACTGGTTTTCTCGTTTACAAATGAAAGCTAGTCGGTTGGCATAATATAGACTTCTAGATATACTTTACCTCGAAAAGTTTCCATACTTGGTGAAAAGATAGAAACCTTAGGTTAAAGACGGGAGAAAAAAGAATTAAAATAACTTTGTGGCTAAGAAAGAAGGATGATGAAGTATTGAAAGTATGTTTGATTTAGATTGAATACACTTCACTAATTAAAATAACTTGAGGTTATGTACGTGACCAAGAGTTTAAAAGGGTTATTAGTACTCTGGGAATATTTATACGCTTTCATCTTTTTTTACATGAATGAATTATGGTTTATTGATTTAACTTGAATGTAATGATGTGTATTAAGTCTGCATTAAGAGAAAATACGTGTAGTACTCTAGTCATTTATTGTCATACTACAAACTCAATAAATTTATTTACCTTATCGTAATGAGAATCAAATATATTGTAAAAATACTATCATATTAAATGACGTTTTTAATTATTTTCATGCTATAATCATTTTGTTGGTGTTCGCGTCATCGAATTCAAATGGCGACTCTCTATTATGTGATGCAAAGACGATCCATCCTTTTCGACTTGTGAACATTTTAACATAAAATAATGCACCTGAGCCCACACCACCATTGTCTTGCTCATTGTAACGAACAAGCAAACTATGGTAAACTATAGACGCTCGAAAAATATGATTCTTCATTTGATGACTGTTTTTCTCTCGGTTTTTTTTTTTTTTTTTTATTTTTTCAAACGCAGCTATCGATGGGTTGACCAATTCGACATTAGTTTGATCATTCGGAAATTGAATGAATGAAAAACGTTTAAGTTGAGCTTAAAGTTTCTCCAAGCTTCGTTTGCAAAGATGCCGACTTATTTAACAAAAAGTTATTTGAGTTGTGTTCCTTTTCAATCACCTTCACGCTCAATAATTAATCATTTTCAAAGATTCAATTGGCCGTACTATCGCTAAATAGAACAGCTTCTCACTTAACATGGAATCATTAAAATTCAACTGCATTTGTGATTGTATTTTTAATTTCTAAAAATAAGATAATAAAGACTTTTTGTGCTCGATTATATGCGCTGTCAGAATTGCAATATATGATCGATTAAAGACCCCAATAAAATTCTTTTGTATAAAATTATCAATGTTTTGTTGCTTTAATGCAAATTTCTTAAAAAGCGCACCTGTTTAGTATAAAACAATATATAGTCTTTTATGACCGCACATATGCATAATATAATTCTAAACTTTTTTTTTTTATATGAAGATACTGTATTATTAAAGCTATAGACAAAAATCACTGCATGAAATTTGATTAAAGAAATTCTAAATTTTAACCTATCCTATTTAATAAAAAATAAAAAGATTTTTTATTTTTAAACTATTCTTGTTTATTATATTAATAAATAGAATAATTTTATTGAAAATTATAAATAAATTTATTTATCATTATTAATACAATATTCGAATGATCCAATTAAATTGAATTATTTTAAAATATAATTTAAAAATCAAATTAGATATAAATATATAGCAATCTACAAAATATAAATTACCTATTATGTATTTATTATAAATCTCAGCTTTAATAATTCTTAAATTCATAATTACATTATTAAAGAATTTTAAATTTACACTTAATATTACTGTATATACAGTAATATTTATATTATTTTTATTTTAATTTTTTTAAACACTTTATCATATCAATTATATATATTGTGTTTTATTAAATAGATAATTATTTTTGAAGGCAACAAAAATGCTAGATATCATTTTTCAGACACTACTTTTAAACAATACACAAATACGTAATGTAAATTTTAGGATCACAATTGTCAGAAAATTTCCAGCCCGCCTTCAAAAACAATTACCCAAATATTAATAATTTTATATATTACTGAGGTCTTTTTTTTTAATTAATTTACATGTCTTGATTTATATTTTATTATTAATTTAATTTTTTTTTTAACCCACAGTTGGGCCAAAATAACTTGTTTGTTTTTTTTTTTTTTTTTTTTTTTTTTTTAGCTGGCGAAGTCATGCCAATTAGTTTTTATTTATTCATTAGTACTCTCAGTTTGAACCC